GTCACAAAACGCAACCTCTTTCTGATTTAAGTCCCTTCTGAAATTCTACCTCTTCCAGCTACTTATGGTCACCTCCCTCTCAACATCCTAACCCGAGCCTGTAACATTCTCCAAGAGGTTACTGTACGTGATGGGTGCTACATAAATGCAAGTTGTTGCTGTTGTGAAGCTAATGCGGAACATGGAACTTTCTGGCAAAACATTGGCATCATTGGTCATTTGCTCCATTTCCAGGCTTTGGAGAGTGGGTGGAATGGTGATGGTGGGGTGTCATCTGCATAGACAAGTGGGTTAATCATTGTCCATGATTTTGTCTATGATTGAAACCTGTCTGTGTGAGCACAGCTGAATTGTGATTGGGTTTCCTTTCATTTTTCCTCCCTCTGTGCTGGTGGAAGGAATTGTGTGCCATGTTGAACGATGGGGGGTGTCAAGCAGAGTTTATTCCTCTCTATCTGCTTCTCTTTGCACTCAAAACACTACACAACGTTAGGGAGCCACTGGTAAGTACCTATGTCAAGCCTGTGAGCCTTTTTCTCTTGTAGTTTGCCTTTAAGAGCACATTAAATGATTTCCCCCTGATGAGTCATTTCAAGCCACTTGGTTGAGTAAAACCGAGATTGTTAAATCCTTGATCTGCTGAGAAGACAGTTTAGTATAACAGTAATAACTAATTGCACACTTATTTTTTTGGGTTGGGGTGGGAGTGAAAATAATGTGAACCTGGGTTTCCACTCCTGATAATTAGCTTTACTGTGAGATGAACATGTGTGGATATCAAGTATGGCTGAAATGGCTGTCCAGTCTATTTCACCTGCCAACACTCATTAACCTGGGCTTAGGAACAAAGAATCGTGACTCAGGCGAGGTGTCAGAGAGTGATGTGTGTATGTTATACAGTATAATATGGAACTGTATGAGAGTGGTGTCTCTGTGCTGAGATGGAGAGAAAAGTGGTAAAATGAAAGATTATCTGGTTTTTATTATTTTTTTAAAAACTTATCAGCAAGGCACATAATTCTGCAAGAGCAAAGGTAGCCGCTGAAGTGGTTTTCTATCTTCTTTCCCTCCCTACTTCCCCCTTCCTCAACTCCCCACCCCCAGCTCAGACTCCCAGTCAGTTCTGTGAAGCACTCTGAGATGTCCTGCGGACCCAAAAGGCACTGTACTGTATAAATACAAAATTGTTGTTGAAATATTCCCGTAAGTACTCTCGTCTCACGAATCCGCTCTGGATGTGGGTTTGGTTTCTGGCTCTGATGAGTGCTGTCAGAATTTTTGTTGCATCTGAATGTCATTAACAGCAAATAAGGAATCCTCGCTCTTATCAACATTCCTAATTAGTTCCTGCTTTTTGTGTGACGGAAGGGACGAAATTCCTTCCTCTGGGTTTCCCAAGGTGGCCCCTCTCTCGTTGTTAGTATCCTGGGCCTTATTGTCGTGGCTTGAGTCAAAGCGGTTAAGAGTTTCAGCTCAGCCTAGAGTGTGTGTCTGCCAGCTGGGTGCTGTTCAGCTGCTCTTCAAACCTCTGTAAAATAACAACTTCCTTGCCAGAAAATTAATAAATCTCTCTCTCTCTCTCTCTCTCTGATACACACACACACCTCTCCCCATGTGTATATACACACACATCTCATCCCACACTGACAAAACACCACTCCCCTACACATACACAAACACCCCCCTTCCCTCACCCCATGCACGCAGCTTTTGAAAAAAGTATTGGTTTTAATTTGAACTTTGTCCCCTCTTTCTATTTCTTTATTTTTTTTTACGTTGTCAGCTTCAGTTTTCTCCTCTTCTCCTTTTTCCTTCGATTTGCGTAACGGGGGAGTGAAGACTGCGATGGATGCAGGATGTATCCAAAAATGTCACTGGTGACGTTAAGTGTGAGGCCAGCTGTGCCATCTCCCCCCCACCCCCTCCCCCTCCGGGGTATGAAGCTGAACCATGACCGATTGCACATCTGGATTTGAAGTACGGACTAACAGGCTTAACCCACCAAATAAAATCAGCCAGTGGATAAAGTTAGTGATTGTTGTACAATGAGCTCGCTATGATAGGAAATGAGTATAGTTCAGAAAGAATTTTCGATGGGTCAAATCATCCTGTCTCTCTCTCTCCCTCCCCCCCCCCCCAACCTCCTCCACCGCTCCCCTCACCACCCCCACCCCCAGCAAGGCATTCAAACACAGGGCACAATTCATCACAACTGGAAGATGGAGACCCCTAGAGGAGATAATAATAATAATAATAATAACCTTCGCGTTTGATATAGTGGCTTATCATGTCATTGACGTCTCAAAGCGCTTGACAGGACGTGCTGTAAAGTGGAGTGACTGTGTGTTTTGTGGGCAAAACCCGGCCGCCGATTGCGCACAGTGGCGTCCCCACAAACAGCGGGGGGACTGAAATGACCAAGTCAGTGTTGTATATTTGTGCTGGCGGATCGATCAGGTGCCGCCCTCGATCGGCAGCGGGACGTCGGCTTCGAAACGAACGTAGCAGCAATAATTTGGGTTCCCTTTGATCTCTGGCTGTTGTGAGTCTTGAGCCAATGTGGGATTGTAATTTGTGGTGCACAGACATCACAAGGTGGGGTGGGGGTGTGTGTGTGTGTGTGTTTGGGGGTGTGTGGGTGTTTGGGGGTGTGTGGGTGTTTGGGGGTGTGTGGGTGTTTGGGGGTGTGTGGGTGTTTGGGGGTGTGTGGGTGTGTTTGGGCGTGTGTTTGTGTGTGTATATTTGGGGATGTGTTTGGGTGTGTGGGTGTGTGTATTTGGGGATGTGTTTGGGTGTGTGTGTGTGTTTGCGTGTGTGTGTTTAGGGATGTGTTTGGGGGTGTGTGTTTGAGTGTGTTTGGGTGTGTGTGTTTGGGTGTGTGTTTGTGTGTGTGTGTTTGGGTGTGTGTGTGTGTTTGGGTGTGTTTGGGTGTGTGTGTGTGTGTTTGGGTGTGTGTGTTTGGGGATGTGTGTGTGTGTGTGTGTGTGTTTGGGTGTGTGTGTGTGTTTGGGGATGTGTGTGTGTGTTTGGGTGTGTGTGTTTGGGTGTGTGTGTTTAGGTGTGTGTGTTTGGGTGTGTGTGTGTGTTTGGGTGCGTGTGTGTGTTTGTGTGTGTGTGTGTGTTTGGTGTGTGTGTGTGGTGTGTGTGTTGTGTGTGTGTTTGTGTGTTTGGTGTGTGTGTGTTTGTGTGTGTTTGTGTGTGTGTGTGTTTGTGTGTGTGTTTGTGTGTGTGTGTGTGTGTGTTTGGGTGTGTGTGTGTGTGTTTGGGTGGTGTGTGTTTGTGTGTGTGTTTGTGTGTGTGTGTGTTTGTGTGTGTGTGTGTGTGTGTGTGTTTGGTGTTTGTGTGTGTGTGTGTTTGTGTGTGTGTTTGTGTGTGTGTGTGTGTTTGGTGTGTGTGTGTTTGTGTGTGTGTGTGTTTGGGTGTGTGTGTGTGTGTGTTGGGTGTGTGTGTGTGTGTGTGTTTGTGTGTGTGTGTGTGTTTGTGTGTGTGTGTGTGTGTGTGTGTGTGTTTGTGTGTGTGTGTGTTTGGTGTGTGTGTGTGTGTTTGGGTGTGTGTGTGTGTGTGGTTGTGTGTGTGTGTGTGTTTGGGTGTGTGTGTGTTTGTGTGTGTGTGTTTGTGTGTGTGTGTGTTTGTGTGTGTGTGTGTGTGTGTGTGTGAGGTGGGGTTGGTGCAATGATCTGACTGTGTTTCTCTCGGTTGCATCTAATGCCAAAGGCTGTGGAGCTGTGGCTGTGTGGGTTGGAGGGGGGGTGGGGGGGGGGCACTGTGCTTTTTCTCTCTCTCCCCACACACACTGTACGTTAAGCGGAGCCCTGACCGGGTGGGGTGGTGGGGGGGGGTTGGGGGTGACTGACTTGACTGACTGACAGCAGAGGCAGCCAGTGCGGATGAGCAGCGCTGCTCACACTGCGCCCAATTGCTCGGGCATTGCACTGACAGAGACAGAGAGAGAGAGAGAGAGGAGGGGAGGAAGGAGAGAGAGAGAGAGAGGAGCAGAGGCGGTGTGGGAAGGGGAGGGGTGTGGGTGGGTTTGGGGGGAGGGGGTGTGGGTGGGTTTGGGGGGAGGGGGGTGGGTTGGGGGGAGGGGGTGGGTTTGGGGGGAGGGGGTGGGTTTGGGGGGAGGGGGTGTGGGGGGAGGGGGTGTGGGTGGGTTTGGGGGAGGGGGGGAGGGGGTGGGTGTGGGGGGAGGGGGTTTGGGGGGAGGGGGTGGGTGTGGGGGGAGGGGTGGGTGTGGGGGGAGGGGGTTTGGGGGGAGGGGGTGTGGGTGGGTTTGGGGGGGGGGTGTGGGGGGAGGGGGGGAGGGGGTGTGGGTGGGTTTGGGGGGAGGGGGGGAGGGGGGGGAGGGGGTTTGGGGGAGGGGGGGAGGTGGCAAATTAGGGACCGCTGAAGCTGGAACAGGAGCTGAGGCAGTGAGTCAGAGAGGGCGAGAGGTGTCGGGTCGGTGCTGTGGGGAGAGAAGGCGGTCGGTCGGTCGGTCCGGGGCTGGAGCTCCGCTGTGTTTATTTGTTGCATTTGTCTGTGGATGAAAGAAAAAGAGAGAGAGAGAGAGAGAAGGAAGGAAGGAAGGGAGGAAGGGAGGGAGGGAGGGAGGGGGATTGCACAGATTCTCTGCTTGAAAATCCTCTGCGCTCGATGGTGGTACAGTATATATAGTCACACACACAACACAACACACACACACAACACAACACACACACACAACATACACCACACAACACACACACACAAAACACACACAACACACACACACAGTGAAAGCCGCTTAACCCGTGTGTGCGGAGAGACAGAGCGCAGACACACACACACAGACACACACACACACAGACACAGACACACACACACACAACACACACACACAGACACACACAGACACACACACACACACACAGACACACACACACAGACACATATATACACATAACTCCCATATGCAGAGAGACCGACCGATGCTCGAGGCACCGGGGAGGGGGGGAGAGGGGGTGTTGGGGTGGGGGTTGGGGTGGGGGTCGGGGTGGGGGTTGGGGGCTGTCGGAGGCGTTGGGAGAAACCACATCAGAACCAGAAGCCGAGACCCGTCGCTCGAAACCAGGATCTCACCCGGAAAATCCGGACAGGAAAAGCTTCACCAGAATCCGTCCACAGCCGATCCTCTCCCGTTCCTTCCGCAGTGCAGCTGAGGAGCGTTTTTTTGCGCTTCCAAAGATAGTGGATTTTTTTTTCTCTCTCTCTCTCTCTCTCTCTGTCTCTGTCTCTCTCTTTCCTCTGTAAATCTTGGACAAATGAAAAGGGGAAGAAGTTGTCAGTGATCTGCATCGTTGGGGTGATTCCCCCCATCACCAGCCCTCCTCCAAAGACAACATTTTTGACCTTTTTTTATACATATATATATATATATATGTGTGTGTGTGTGTTGGAAATTCACATCGATTTCCACTCCTGTTTCCCCATCACCTATGACCGGGGAGAAGACATAAAGCCGTTTGGTACAAGACAAGGCAAGTCAAGTGTATGTGCGTTGCCTGCGAGAGAGGAAGAGGGAGGGAGAGAGATCAAAGGCGAAGATGCCAACAGCGAGACTTGAGAGTCTGATGTGAATTGCAGTCACATTTCACCATGAAAGTGCTGCGCAGGAAGGCGGTTCTGTTGATATTAGGCTATGTCCTGCTGGTCATCTTGACCATGTTACACTTCGCGGATCACAAGGGCACCAAGGAGTGCAACCAGGTGAAATACGTGCCCTACCCCCTGCGTTACACCATGGACCACCAGAGACCCAGCCTCCCACTCAACACCACCACCAAGAGGCAGCACGTGTTCGTGTTTACCACCTGGAGGTCTGGCTCTTCGTTTGTGGGCGAGCTGTTCAACCAGAACCCGGACGTGTTCTTTCTGTACGAGCCCATGTGGCACGTGTGGCAGAAGCTGTACCCGGGCGATGCCCTGACCCTGCAGGGGGCGGCCAGGGACATGCTGGGCTACCTGTACCGCTGCGACCTCTCCATCTTCCAGCTCTACAACGGGGGGGCTAACGTCACCAGCATGGGCATCTTCGGGGCGCCCCGCAACAAGGTGGTCTGCTCCTACCCGCTCTGCACGGCCTTCCGCAAGGACATTGTGGGGCTCATCGATGAGCACGTGTGCAAGAAGGAGTGCCCGCCCCAGAACATCGAGTTACTGGAGGAAGAGTGCCATCGATACAACACCATTGTGATCAAAGGGGTGCGTATATTTGACCTGAATGTTTTGGCCCCTTTAATTAAAGACCCCTCCATTGGCCTTAAGGTGATTCACTTGGTCAGGGACCCCAGGGCAGTGGCCAATTCCAGGATAAAATCGAGGAATGGGCTGATCAGGGAGAGCCTGCAAGTCATGAGGAGCAAAGACCCCAAAGGGCGGCGTTTGAAGGCGTACGATGGCTACCAGAGGAGCAGGCGGGACGCAGTAGACTATCATGCCCTCAACGCCCTGGAGGTGATCTGCAGCAGTATCGTGAGGACTGTGCAGATGGTCAGAGAACCGCCTGACTGGCTGAAGGACAGCTACAGGGTGGTCCGCTATGAGGACCTGGTGGAAGACCCCATCAGGTACCTGAAGGAGATGTACCATTTCGTGAACCTGACGGTCAGCGAGGACATCGAGAGGTTCGTGCTGAACATGACTATGGGCTCCACCTATTCCTCCAAAAAGCCTTTCAGCGTGACATCCCGCAATGCCACCCAGGCCGCCAACGCGTGGAGGACCCAGCTCACTTTCCCTCAGATCAAACAGGTGGAGGAGTACTGCCAGCAAGCCATGGACTGGCTGGGCTACGAAAAGGTCCAAAACCCGGAAGAAGTCAAGGATTTCAGCAAGACCTTTGTCACCAAACTGCGGTTTTAGATTTTTTTTTTAAAAAAACGAATGAGAAACCCGGTAATTAATTCCACCCGCCTCTGAGATTGGTCGAGTTTAGGACGGACAGCTCAATCCATCGGTTTGTGAATGTATTTGATCAGATCTTTACAACGCGGACCCAAAGTGGGGTCACATTGCTGGGACTCCTGCAAGTGCATACACACGTACACACACACACGCCTTTCGTTCTTAACGCCCACTGAGAGCAGAACTGATTGATGTGTCTGCTCTTCTGCCAGAGTTGTCCGTGGGAGATACTTGAGCATTGGATTTAAATTGTTTGTATAAGGCGCACGTGTGTGTGTGTTGTGTGTGTGTATAATATATATATATATCGTTCTGGTTTTGTTGTCTAAGTAAGTTCATAATTTATTATCAATTTCGAGACAAAGTATGATGTTAATGGCATGCAGGTGTGGAATTGTGCTTACTTGCCAAAGTACATCAATCACGTCAGGATAAAAATATTCTTCCTTTTCCTCTAATACCTCTATCCTCCACCGACCAGTTTCTTTCTCTCTTAACTCCGTTTTCCCAAGCCAAGTCTGTTGCAAAAGTAATTTTTTTTTGACCGCTTACTGTGTTTTTTTAAACAGTTGTGTCTGGCAGCACAAATCCCCAGGGGCATTACAGCACATGTCCAATAAAACGTAACGTCTCAACCAAAGCACAAAGTATTTGTGCTCTCAGGTGCTCAATGATCCCCATCGACCACCAGAACTAATTGACGTGACTGCTCTTTTGGCTGAGTTGTCGTAGGAGATACTTGAATACTGGTTTTAAATGGCACACAGCTGTGGAATTCTGCTTTTGGACCTGGGTTCAATTCCCTGGCAGGACGGAGCCTTAGGCAAGTTTCTTTTACTCCACACACCTCTGTGTACCTAGCAGTAAATAGGAACCCGGTTATTAGTCAATTGGCGGATTGCTAACCGGGGGTAATAATCGCTCAAAATTTATTATTATTATTAGGACACTGAGTCCATGACTTGTTTGTGAGACACTGCTGTGCGGAACTGGCTGTTGCATTTCGCTCACAAAATAAACGGCCAATTCACTTTACAGTATATTCTGTGAAGCACTTTGAGTCAATGATGTGATCAGGTGCTATATCAAAATGCTATTATTATAATAAATTGTTAAACTCAGTGTCCAATCCACTGGCCGTTGAGCCTTGCAGACTACAAAGGTTCTATGCCTGACCCCTGGTCTCTGCTAGTTTCATCCAGTGCAGGTTCTGTTGGCCTTAGTGCCCTTGGTTGGGGGGGGGCAAAAATCAGCTATGGCTCCACAACCAGATCCTTATCCAGAGATTCCTCTCCTAAACCCCCCTCCTCTTATTATAGTGGAAGGAGTGTATGTTTCTCTTGATGTTTAAGGAGAGGACTGGACTATGTGCTGCCGTGTTGACTCATAAAGAATGACCATTTGGGTGAGTCGCTGTGTGTGATTCCAGCATGTCTTCATGCAGTGGTGGAGGGGGGGAGGTTCTAAGAAGCAAAATGTCTTGCAATTTATAACCTTTCCTTTGTTTTAAACACTTCTATCATGACTCTGCTAATGATGCCCCGAATAAAATTGGCCGCTCACTTCAAGGCTGCTTGCTGCTACATCACATTGGCTGTTGGGTTCTCTTTAAAAATATACAGTCACTACACTAGGCTTAAATCCCGGAAAGCGCTTTGAGGCATCTCTATGATGTGATAGGATGCAATATCAATTGCATAGTCGCAATACATTAAAGTCCCGTGAAACACTGAGACGTCTCAATGACGTGGTAAGGCTCTGTATCAAATGCAATAATTATTTATTTTATGACAACCAATTATTGCCATACCAGTCCAGTATAAGGTTTATAAAATAAATTAGTACAGGATACAAGACTTGTACTCCATCATTAGCATGCCTGCCAGAAGTAAAAAAAAAGCTGCCGTTAGCGCAGCCTACAAGAGTTGCTATTGCATTGCTTTCCTTTGGCATCAATGCCAGCGTGAATGGTTTTAATTTACGTTTTAATTACAGAATAAAATTCAGAGGAAGAATACCCCCTGTGTTGCCACTATGTTTTCACTGATGAAGAAAGAGAGCCAGCTCTCTACATGGGATGGGGGTGGGGGGGTGGGAGAGAGGGGAGGGAGAAAGCTTCAGCTTTGGTCACAGAACGTTGAGCGCTGCTCAGTGCATGTATTTGAGCACGCGTGTTTGTGGCGTCCCCCCCCCCCCGTCCCCCCCTCCAACACACCACAGTGATGCAAATGAGTAGGGTAGCCATAGTGCCCAATTTCATTCCTCACAAATGCTGTTAGTACTGGCAGTGTAAAGGGAGCAGGAGAGACTTGTGTAGAATAAGGAGCGGCCGAGTGAGTTACAAGGCGGCAGCAGCAACAAGTGCACAGGTTGAGATGATATTAAAAACCGACCGCATCTTGAACCTAAGGTACGCTGCTGCTTTGAAACCTAATCCAGAGCGTAAGTTTTACTGGCAGGGGAACCGTGGGGGATAGTGACGGACGGCAGACTTCAGTGAAGCGTTCAACGTGATTTGACATTAGTGCAATTAAAATTTATCTGACTGAATTCTGCTGTGTATCATTTTTAAATTTATACCTTCTAAACCCGACCGGATAGCTCCCACAAAAAGTTTATTTAAAATGCTTTCTACATCTATTGCCCCATATTTTGTAATACATTTTTTTAAAAAAAACATTATTGCACGAGTATGTCAGTGTTATTGAACTCTCAATAAAGCCCTTGAACTTTGCAATTCTTACGACATTTTGTCGCTTCATAACTTAATCCTACCTGCTGTTGCCAGTGCAATATTCTTCAATGTAATGCAATTAGGAATACGAACCATGTCGAACAAAGTGTGACGGATTGTAACAAAATTACTCTTTGAAATGGCGTTCAGATGTTTTATTTATTTTTCAGTTTGCAGGTTTCTGTATTACTGCATTAAGTTGTGAAATAAATCGCCAGTAAATGTTATGTTACTGGGCTACTTTGTGAATACGTTTACTTCTTGTGGCCAAGTGGATTCATTTTTAATGTGCAACGGGATTATTCAGTAATCTTCAGATCCAGATCAGCATGGTTTTGATGTTGATGATGACGATAATAATATTATGGATTGACAAAATACCTTGTTATCAAAATATCAACCTCCTTACAAATGTAGCTATTTTAGGAAGCTCAAACGTACTAAGAAATGTAACATCCATTCATATGTAATGTAGCAGTGTTATTGGTCTGACTGACGTATCCCTGAAAACCACTTAAACTACCTCTACAGAGTGATTTTAAACTGTCATACCATAATAAGAATCCTTACATTTCGTATGGTGCCTGTCAGGATGTCCCAAAGCACTTCATAGGATATATTGTAAAGTCCAATGACTGCTTTGTGGATGAACACCACGGCCAATTTGCCCAAAGCATGTCTCCTAAACCAGCATGAAGTGAATGACCGATTTTATCTGGGGGATTCTTGGGCAGACCACTGGGAGAAACTTCTCTTCGATTAGTGCCATGGGATCTTTTAAAATCCACCTGAACAGGAATACGTGGGCTTGGTGAAAGTCTTATCCAAAGGGCAGACATACAACACTCTTGACCATTATATAGCATCTTTCACATTGGGAGAACTCTTCAAAGCGCTTGACAATACTGGCTGGCCACCCGAGCAGGGGTTGGGGAGGACTGTAATGTTAAGCTCTTGATCTGTTGCAACCAAGAAACCGATTCTGAAATGAGAAAAGCATTTACTAAAATAGCTTTTAATTACTCAGCTATAGAGTTGATCATGTCTTTTGAAATGCTGTATAAAGTTGATATATTTTAGAAAGATGGTTTTGAAGCTATTACCTGCAGATCATCAAATACACAATTATTTCACCAGGATTTTCCTGTTACTTCAATACGTGATAAATGTCACTCAAGGTAAAGGACTCAGGGCAATTGGAACTTGTAACCACATTTTGTTCAGCTCATAATCAATAGCCAAGATTACAATGTTTTAGCTAATATCAATTTTTATAAGTGGCTGTAGTGGTATCAATCTTCTCATGTTTTAGTGATGAACATTTTCATTGGTTTTCTCAAAAATACCATTACCTAAATTAGCCATTCTATATCACAGATTTGCTTTATATTCTTACTCAACATACGTCAACTTAATTTAATTATCCAAGGCAGAGTCTATAAACCCACTTAGTTTCAGTTTTTGTTCAGTTTGGTTTCAAGTCACTAAATTTCCCATTCCACATCTCAGTGAGCATAACATTAATCAATAAAAGACAAAATCAGCTTCAAACCAACTCGTTCAAGCACCATCTCAAAACCTATCTCTTTAATCGCGCTTTCAGTCATCTTCTGTTCCCCTCCCCGCTAACCCATTGCCTCCCATTCCCAGCGTGGATGCTATGCTATGCCGAATAAATGTAAATCAGTAATTTATTTTATTGTAAAACTTCCTTGGATTTTGTAATGTTATTTAGCTTTATATATTTCACAATTTTTATCTGCTTTCATTTTATCTCGTTACAGCGCTCAGCTCCCCGAAGTGCAGTGTGCCTTACATATATTACATTTTTAGCATGTTAAAAACATAGTCGGTGCACGATCTGTAATGGGGATTGCTTTATGCGTTTTTCTAGTAAACAACCTCAAGATGCACTGTTCAGCCTTTCATATGACTACCACACATCATTTTATGTTTACAATGTTACTGACCTGTTACTTTTCCTTGAAAGTTGTTACATAAATGTTTGTGCTTATTGAGATGAATTATCCCCTGATGTTGCATCACTCAGCCCTTGCTGCTAATCCATCTAATTAAAGAGCTGATTAATTTAGAAGCTCGATACATAAGAATAACAATTGCAAAACAATGTTAAAACAAAGGTAGTAATTATTATATCAATGAGTTTTGGAAGGTTTTAACAAATTCATTTGAAGTTTCCAAGTTCAGTTTCCATAGGAACGGAGGAATTGCTGACCAAAAAAAAAATCCATCTACAACAACAAAATTACATTTGTAAAGCGGCTTTCACTTTGGGAGGACGTCCCAAGGTGCTGAAATCTAGTTCGCCTTCTACCATTCTGATAGTTGCATTCTACAGTAGTATAGATGCTGTGAAAGCAAGCTAGCTAGGAACATTAAGACAGATTGTAAGAGTTTTTATAAATACATTAAGAGGATTAGGCTAGCAAAAGTAAATGTGGGTCCACTACAGGCAGAGACAGGAGGAATTATAATGGGGGATAAGGAAATGGCAGAGTCTCTAAATAAATACTTTGCTTCTGTCTTCATGTTAGAAGACACAAGAAGTTTACCAGAAATAGAGATGAACCAAAGGGCTAATGATAGGGAGCAACTTAGGGAAATTTACATTAGCCAAGAAATGCTGCTAGGGAAATTGTTGGCATTACAAAGTGACAAGTCCCCTGGACCTGATGGTCTGCATCCTAGGGTTTTAAAAGAGGTAACTCATGAGATAGTGGTGGCCTTGTGTCTGATCTTCCAAAATTCTTTGGATTCTGGAACGGTTCCCATTGATTGGAAGATCGCAATGGAAGATCATGCTTAACAAATCTTTTAGATTTTTTTGAGGACACATCAAGTAGATTAGATAGAGGGGAATGTAGATTCAGTGAGGGGGTGAGTTATGAGAATAGGTTGAGCAATTTAGGCCTATATTCTCTAGAATATAGAAGAATGAGAGGTGATCTTATAGAAACCTATAAGATTATGAAGGGGCACGACAGAATAGATAGTGGGAGACTTTTTCCCCTGGTTGGAGAATCTATAACCAGGGGTCACAGTCTTAAAATTAGGGGTAAACCCTTTCGCACTGAGTTG